GCCGAAGTTAAGTTTGCGAGGCTGCACGATGGCGAGGAACATTCTACAATAATTTCGGTGTTCCAGCTTTCGTGGTTCCCGAGTTGAAAATGCAGGACAAAAAGCGCGCGTGCACACACACACACACACACGCACGCACGCACACACACACACAAACACATACACACAGCACAGACAAATAACCCATGACAATATGAGTTTTGTACTGCTGTTACTCAGCACAAAACACATAAAAAATCACTGCACCAACCATGTCAGGAGATGGGATTTCTTGCATATGAGTAGGGTTTTGATCCGACGGCAACTGTGAACTCCTGGAATGGGCTTCTGGATCGGAATGTTCAGAATCACCGGATTCTTCATCCGAACGGACAGTCTTATTAAAGCGTTTTTGGCGACCCTCAGCAAGTCCATTTCTTCTGTAAATCATTAAATCCTTAGAAAATAAACAAACTATGATGTAACCTCAGTGCAGTTACGTACAGCTAAATACTGCAAGACTCCGCCGAACGGGAACAGGACCAGTTAGCCATTAAGCACCAAAGCGGTGATGAGACCCAGTTCAGTTACGGTGGTCAAGGAGTGTTACAACTACTTTCGCCCAATTCAAAACGAATTTCGCCTTATTTGTAAAAAAATGAAAAAGGGAAGTGGGGGACGAAGCGTGATGGATGTCATGAATAATATGTGTGAAATCTCAGGCCTGGGCATCTGCAAACAAACGGAACGACGAACGATGTATGTTGCTCCTCCAGTTCAACCTCATCTTCAACTGCTGCATCGTAGTCATAATCATTAGCAACACCACAGCAAGCGTTATCATCAGCAGCAACATCACTGTCGTCACTGAGCTCACCGGAGCTAAACGAGCTGAAATAAAATCCACAAATCTAATTGATGTATGACACACTGGAAAATCCAGAACAATTTAAACCGCTTGCCGAATTAGTACATACACACACAACCTTCTCAGGCGATATGACACTTTTGGAAGAGTACAGAAAAGAAAGCACATTATTCGCGTTTTTTATTAAAGAAAGTGAGGGAAGAGGAGAAAGCACAGTAAAATAATTTTTTCTTCCACATTTTCGCAAAAAATATTATATTTGCACAGGATAAAAAATTACCAAACCTAACAACCAGATCAAGCCTGCAGCCAGGGACGTAAGCTCACAAAAGCGCTCAATACATGACTGCCTCAGCAATTCAAATCAAAAACGATGCCAGTTGCATGTAAGATCCGAAAGCCCTGTATCTCAAAGAAACACCCAACAGAGACTCTAAATACCAAACTTCTCTGCAAAATAAACCCCAAGAACTTTGCTTTTGATGATCTTACAAACAACTAGAATCAGCAGAGGCGCAAGACGGCTAGCTGACTTTCGTTCCCTAGAAACATCTTTATCTGAAGGTCACAGAGCTCACAAAAAGGAAGGAATAGCAGCTCGCACTAGCGCAGCTAATGCGACCATGGGTTTTGTGCAAATCAATGTTCATTTGCAGAAACCGTTGGAATGTTCCATTCGGCCAAAACTTACATTTTTCTGTACGTTAGATCCAAGAGTATGTGGAAGCTGATTCTAAAATTTCAGATGCCACGAATGGGCAGGAAACACCCTCTTGAAATTCCGGCTTCCCGTCTTATCTGGCCCCGGAGTTGAGAACTTCCCCGTCAAAGTGCATGCGTTCGCGCATGAAATGTGAGTGCATGTACAAGCTGGATATGAAATTTTCGGCGTCGCATATGAGCACACAGCATTTTCCTAAACTTTGATTTGCAGTTTTACTGGCCCCCAACTTGGCAATTTTCTGGCCATAAGCGCATGCACTGTGCGTGAGATATAGACGCATGTGCTAGTTGCACTTGAAACCACACAAACATTAAACACCATCATAAAATTTCAGCTTCTTAACACTTGTGGTCTCCAAGTCAATTCCGCGTCAGAACTTATAGGCGACCATACTTGGGCTTAAGTGTACGTAAATGCTGAATTCAAATTTGCGGGGTCGTAGAGGATAGGTAACACTGCTTTCTAAATTTTATAGTTACCGAGTTTTAAAATTGAGGAGTCGTATTTGGGTGAGGGGACATTCTCCTGAAATTTTAGATTTCTAGCTTTTCTGGTTCTCGAGTTATTAATTTAGGCGTCAAAACTTTCGCAGAGCGGCACACATGAGCCAAGCGTACGCGGGAACCAAACTAAAATTTGCGAGATCACACGCAGGTAAATGATACCTCCCTAGCATTTCAAATTCCTAACTTCTGTGGTTTCCGCGTTGAAAACCCCGGATAAAGTGCACTCGAAACAGACACAAAGACAGGGTACTGACAATGTGCATTTTGTGCAACTGTTGCAGCACAAAATACATAAAAATGAAACAAATTCGCAGCAAAGGTGCAGTAACTTAAATACATTTTATAGCAAACAACAATGAGTTTGCTGTAGATCAAAAAACGCTGCTGTTTTACAAATAAGCTCGCCACCGATGAGAAAATTAGGTTCCAGATTTGCACATCAACAGCAAACGCGCACTGTCCTCAGTTTTAAACAGGGGGCGCAAACAGTCCATTAACTCTGTGAACAGTTGTATTCTCTCGAAGTGAATGAACAAATGAGTGATAACGGGGTACGGATTCAAGCACAATCACAAGGCCAGATTAAAATTTAGCAAAATACGGCAGATGCACGTTGCGGCACTGAAGAAGAAGAAGAGAAATATCACACGGATAAATCACGGCTGTTCAGCGTACCAAAGTATTGCTGGATCAGCAGTTGATTTAAAGCCTAGATCTCACCCACACTGCCGGCAACTTCTCCATCCATAATCTCGTGCTTTTCGCATCCACAGCACTCCATATGCGTACTGCCGCTTCAACACATCACAGGTACAATTCATATGCCTGCCACACGGCCATCGTAGGTTCTTCGTTTGCTGTGCATTACCTCCACCGATTTTTTTTTTTACACAGAAACTGCAGCTCGTTGTTAACTGTGTCGCAGTCTGCCGGCACTTCGCTTCACATTCCATTGACTTCTGCGTTACTGCCAGATTATCTGCTTTCGCGAAAGTGATATTCCACTTACCGCACTCACAAAACAGCACAGATAGGAAGATGGTATTCAAAATCCGTGTTTTTATATGAGAAGGCGTTTATTTGTCCGAAATTTCGTCCAAGCGCTCAATTCGTTCGAATCAACTCCACACGCAATTGAGTATTCACCTAATATTGCGAACTTTTTGTTTTTCTTGTTTCACGTTGTATTCATCCATTTCGCTTTCTCGCTGTGAATTCTGAGTCGGGAGCGATGATGTTCAGCTCAGTTAGCGAACTTGCAGTGCTTGGGAGTTGTGCAGTATCATTAGCACCATGTCATTTGCAAAATAGCATTCACACTGTACTAAAATGGCCATCATTTTCCTCAAAAATTCTTCCAGTGCACATGTGAATGAAGTGTTGGGGGGAGCAGATGTCCGCTTGCTTCACATTTCTGTCACTCGTTCTTCAACGGCATCACTCGAATCTGTTACCTTATCGACTCGGCACTCTGTTTTATCAGCGATTACAGCGCGACTGCATGTTCTACAGAATCGACAGCACTTTTAGGAATTGACGAAACGTAAACATACGGGGCTTCTGTCTTCTTCGCAACGCTCAACTAAAAGTGTGGAAGCGGAAACGTATTCAACAGCTGAGAATGACTATCAGAACGCTATATGCGCTTTGCGAATATTACATTAAGCGATCTTTCAGTACTTGAACAAACACTCTCATGAAAATTACCAACTATAAAATACCAATAGCTTCGCGACTGCCCTTCTTTTAGGCATCAGGGCCGTTTTGGCTCTTCCCAGTTCGCTAAGGAAAAACAGACGAACGCAAGCGCCTTGCACAGTCCCAACCCGAAACTGTTTCTCCCGAATTCTGCTGTTTTTAGATGTTGTTGTTATCATCGAAATAACGATTGATCCCATTATAATTGGGAAATAAATTAACAACTATAAGCTCCATGAAATGCGGTCATCCGACAATTCGCAAAAAACTACTGCACTGATGATTCGGTCACCAAAACCCTGCATCGCCTTACAACGCAGAGATCGGACGAGCCGACCAGCAAGCGGAGCTGCGCTCATCTTCTTATTCATTAAAGATACTAGAAGCGGCGATCTGTCCGATCAATCCAATAGTGGATCACCCGTTAGACAACAGAGCCTGTCTACAAACTGGCCCTCAAGCAATTCTTGCATATCCAGCAACTTACGAGAAGCATCACGAACGGTTACAGCCATCTGCATTCAACAAGGCAAAAACAAACTAGTTGGAGCAGAATGCGGCTGTAAAATTCAACCAGAATGATGCAACATTTAAAAGAAACGGCCCTCAAAACTAGGACCATAAATTCCAGAAACAAACTACACAAGCAGTGAATGAGGTAAGATGAAGAAGGGCTGAATGCTTGGAAATACCGGCACGGTGAAGTGGTCCGCTCTTCCTCCTGCTCCTTCTTCACCGCGTCCGTCGTCGTTGCCTCATGCGAATCCATCGCCGCTACTGACTCCAAAGATTCTGCAACATAACTACACTGCAATCCTGCACAGTCAACAGCAGTGCATCTTTTAAAAAGGTGCAAGAAAGCGCGTTCAAACTGCCGTCGCCACACTGCCCCGCCTCAGGCAAGAGCTACGAAGAGTGGAACAGAGCCAGGGGCGCCAGCAGCCCGAGCCGCACCGAAGGTGCCAGAAGCTATCAGTAAGGGGGCGCCCCAGAGAACTGCGGAACTCGCTTGTGCGGGCTCTGTGACGCAACCTCTCGCCAGGCCGCGAAAGCACACATCATGTGAGAAGTGCCTGGCAGAGTGAGGTCGCCCCCTGTTCGCCCGTCGCACCTGTTCACTAGAAAAGCACTCACCCCAAAACGGAGAGCAGTCTTCTGAAAAACCGAGAACGAGAAGAGGGGAACGTCAGCTGAAACGTGCAAAAGCAATCCTGCGCAGCATCAGCCCTCCAAGATGAACCGAAAAAACGCTACCGATCTGCTCATTGGCCATGCAGTCAGCTACAGAGAATAGATCCGTATGAAGAACACCACGAAACAACGCGACGACAACCTTCTACCCAAACCGGAAGCGCGCGCCACCCAATTCGTCCCGATCACTGACGAACGTTTACAAAAATTGCTCCACCGCAGGACATGAGCAACCTCGCGCAGCCCAATACCGCAGCAAAAAGCTCCCGGGTGGAAAACTCTGCTCGGTATCGGCGCACCCCACGCTGCAGTCACCAAAACTCGACTCGGATGCCTTTGTGTAGAGCTCCAGTTTTCCAGCTAGTACTGTTTCGGATGGGGGTGGGAGCCTTGCTTGGCATGGTGCCAGCGGCTATTGGGTGGAGTTGCCCGGGCACTCGGCGGCTGGATCACGTGAATGGGAGATGGTAGGTAATGGGATGTAGCATGGTTGGGGGTGTGATTGATGAGTGCCCAGATATCGCTTCGGAGGTAGGGATTGGAGACAGGATGGAGAAAGGGTAGAAAGGTACTAGTCAGAAGTTCAAGACAAGAACTGGAGAGAGCAGTAAAGAGGAAGAGCAACACAGCACTGCAAAGAAAAGTAAATTAAAGAGAAACTGAGCTTATAAATAAAAATAAAAAAAAAAAAGCAAAAACACTCCTATGAATACCCAGGCTGGAAAGCACCAAGCGGGCCGGTGCGATTATGCGTTTTTGCACTTTTCGTGCCGTAGCAAGTTCGCAAGGAATCACGGTAGCTAACCCTCTAACATATTGGCCTTCGGATTTCAGAAAGTTAATTGTGCAGCTATGTAGTATGTCAGTTGTAGATGTCGATTTCAGTGACCCGACAAATGGAAAATTGTTGGTCTACGAAAAAGGCCGCACTGGAAGAGTTAAATTTGAAATCTTCTGGTCGCACATAAGTAGGGGACATTCCGTTAAAAATAAAGCCTTCAGCTTTTCGCGTCCATGAGTTAGCAGTTTTACCATCAAAATTTTGACGCGTCTGTACTTGAGTACCAGACGGTTTTAAGGAGCTGAATTTGAAACCTTTAGGTCATACATGAGTAGGGGACATTACTTTAAAGTTTCAGCTTCCTGGCTTTTTTCGCTCCCTGGTTAGTGATTTTCGCGTCAAAATTTCCACGTACCCGTACGTGGGTCCCGGGTGCTTCTAAACACCTGATTTTGGTTGCACATAAGTAGGAAACATTCCCCGAGAGTTTTAGCTTTCTAGCTCTTTTCGCTACCGAATTAGTAATTTTCGCGCCAAAATTTCCACGTGCTCGTACGTAAGCCCGGGCGCTTCCAAACACCTGATTTTGCTCGTACATGAGTAGGGAAAATCGCCATAAAGTTTCAGCTTTCTAGCTTTTCTTAACCCCAAGTTATCAAAACTTTCACGTGCTCGTACGCAGGGCCCGGACGTGAGATTTGATGCCGCTGTCCTGGGGTGATACTTGGCTGGGGAACATACCGGCAAAATTTCAGCTTCAAAGCTTGCGTGGTTGGCGAGTTGAAATGCCCGGACAGACGAACACACACACACACACACACACACACAAACACACACACTGACAGGGTCGTTGCAATATGCGTTTTTGTTGCCGCTTTAGCGCTGCACGGCAAAAATGCATAACCCAGGCTGGAACGCACCAGGCTCTCCGGTGCGATCATGCGTTTTTACACTAAACTCGCAGATCGCTATTAGCAAGAATGATCCCTACGCTGTAGCTAACAGTTGGGCCATATTGGTCATGCTTTGATCTTTTCCGGCATGCAGGAGAAAGGGCGTCAGTCGGGATGAAGGTGGTGCATTGTAGAGCTGCATGGACATCCAGGTGCATGATTACTGGTTTTTTGCTTGAAGTCCGGTCGTTTTTATGCGTTTTTGCATATATGCAAATGCGAAAACGCATATTGCGATGACTGCGGTGTGTGTATATGTGTGTGTGTGTCTGTCTGTCTATCTGTCTGTCTGTCCGGGTATTTCAACTCGGCGCCCATGCAAGCTCCGGTGCCAAAATTTTGCGAGTAGGTTCCCCGGTCAAGTGCCACCCCAGGACCGCGGCATCAATTCTCAAGCACGTCTAGGCCCCGCGTACGAGAGCCTCAAAGTTTTGGCGGGAAAATCGCCAACTTGGGAACTAGAAAAGGTAGAAAGCTGAAATTTTGGGATTATGTTCCCCGTCCATATAGAACTCAAAGATTTTAAAATCAGCCCCCAAGTGTGCGCGTTTCCCGCCATGAGGGTTCCTGGCGCGGAAATCGCTAACTCGGGAACTAAGAAAGCTGGAAAATCCCTGCAAAGTTTCTGCTTTCTACTTTGCCTGGTTCGCGAAATCGTTCCCCGCCAACATATTTCTTTGGAGGTCCCGTACGCGGCGTCTAGGCGCGTATGGGGAAGATCTTAAAACGGGAGGATGACACACGGGGTAGGAACGTATATCCAAAGTTTCAGTCTCCCAGCTTTCCTGGTTGGTGAGATGAAAGTGGGTGGCAAAATGCACTCGCTTTCCGAACACACACACAGACAGTTTCTTGACAATATGCGTTTTTGCTGTAGCAACGCTATAGCGCTGCACAGCAAAAACGCATAAAAAGCAAATAATCGCTAGCGCGCCGACTGCAGGTGCGAAGGTGCGTTTTTAGCACAGTCTTCTCGCAGGTTTTTGTTGTTGACGGCACTGTTTTTATCAGCAAATGCTCCTAGCTAAAACAATTAATATTGACCACTAGGAATGTCAGAAACTGTTACAGTGACTCTCAATTCGTGCTCAAAAAGTTGTACACTCTATGCGCACCTGTTGCGGAGTTACGTCAAATTTCATGTGTTTGTACATGAAAACGACCCCGATGTTGTTTTCACGTATGTTCGTCCAAACACGGTCCTTGGCTGCGCCCAGAAAATTTGAACGCTCCACCTGCCTTGGTTGTGAAGTTACATTAAATTTCACGCTCCCACACGCGATGCATACATGAAAGGAACGTGAAAGCTAGCTTCACCTGGCCAAACGTCACAGCCGGCTATGCTCAGAAAGTTCTGGCCCTGTAGCTGATTCAGTTCTGGACAGTTCTGGATTTACAAAACTATCTATGTTGAATTTCACGTGTGAGTACATGAGCTGTAGAGGGCCTAAATAGCTCGGTATACTTTCACAGGCACATCAGTGGGCGGAAAGCAATGTTGCAAAATTACAGCTCTTTACAACTTTTTGATCTGCTAAATTCTCGAGTTAGTGCGTTTCCAATTTATAGTTTGACATGTATGTACGTGATACCTTGGAATGCATGAAGGCTGAATTTAGAATCTTTGGGTTGGATATGGGCAAGGAACGTCCTTGTGAAGTTTCGGTCTTCTAGCGTGCGTCGTTCTCGAAATCGCTTTCCCACCATGAAAATTTTCACATGCCCTTGAGAACCACGTGGATGTAAACATCCATTTTGAGGATAGGGGCCTGTAGACTAAGTTATCAAAGTTCCAGCCTTGTAGCTTTTTTGGGTCTTGAGATGAAAAATCGGTACAGACGCACACATAGGCGCACACGGACACAAACACACACGCATACGCATACACGTACACACAGAAAACCCCTCGGCAATATGCGTTTTTGCATTGTATAGATGAAAAAAAAATCATAAACACTGAGCTTATGCAAATAGAAATTGTCCTACAAAAGCTCGTCGTCAGTAGGAGCTTCCCATTTTTATGCGTTTTTGCCGTGCAGCGCTAGAGCGCTGCAGCAGGCAGCAAAAACGCATATTGC